CTGAACATCTTACTACAGATGAGCTTAGGGTTACCCAGGGCCCAGGTGGCAGGGTGCTGGGGCTGAGAAACCCTGGGATGCTGTGTGCTCATGACTCCAGGCACTGATGGTAGCATGGTGGTCAGCAAGGTGAGGAGGAACCATGGGTGGGCTGGGGCTCCAGCAGGCCTGGGTTTTATGTTACAGACCAGCTACTTTGGAAAACGCCATAATTTTTGGGACCCTCAACTTCCCACCTGATAAACAGAAAGAATAGCAGTCCCAACACCACAAAGGTGTTAGGAATTAGTGACACCAGCATGTAATGGCCCAAGCCCAGGGCCCGGCAAATGGCAGCTCAACACATGAATGAGTGAATGAATGAATGAATGAATGAGAGATAGGGGAGGAGGAACGGGAGGAAGGAGGGAAACCGACTGAGACCTCCTCTGCTGCGAAGACACTGGAGTGAGAGGTGGTGCTCAGGGTGGAAGGAAATCGTTGCTGCTTTTAATCTGGCCGCCATGGCAAGCCCAGCCTGACCTCACCCCACTGCGCCTTCTCCCAGCATTTCCTGTCTCCCTTGTCAATCACAGGGCCTTGGCACGCACACAAGGCTGTGGGCACTAAAGTGGCAGAGCCTTCGAGGCCGGTTCCTTCCCTCTGCAGGAAACAGCCACATTTCACGAACGTGGCATCATCCGAAGGGGGAGCAAAGACAAGAAAGACCAAGGCGAAGAATTTCCAGGGAATGTGAGGCGGCTTTCCCACGGGCAGTGGAATTCCACCCTCCCTCTCAGAAGCGGCCCGAGAGCTCAGGCTGAATGAGGGCCAACATGGGGGAGGTATTGGATGTGCTACTGCCTTCTGAACGCTTTTGCAGAAACGGTGGATTCCTTCCAGCATACCCACGTATGTAGGCCATGCAGCTCTTCCTTCACTACTTGGGTGAAGAAAATTACTGCAGCTCTACAGGTGCCTCAGGTACACACTGACCATGCCTGTCAGAGCGTGTGGGCATCCTCTCCCGCCGGAGGGAGAATGTCGCATGGAATTGGAGCCCCACGCCATGTCAGTGGTGCTGGGGTGAACAGGGACAGAACCTGATTGATTTCACAGAGCCCAGACTTGGAGTCAAGGCATTTTGCAGAAGGACTGCCACGCAGATTAGCTACAATGTGGGCACGGTGTACTATTGAAATCCAACCTGACTAAGTCATAGAAATGTCCAGACAGAGGACAGACTGGAGATTGAGGGCCTGGGACCTCAGTATCCCCGGGCCTGGGGGGCCCTCTCCTTGGCTGAAGGCTGAGGAGGAGGAGGGGAGGGGAATCATCACTGGGTCAAGACAGTCCTGAAGAACGATCCATGTTCTAGGATGGGGTGGGGCCAAATCCAACCGCTACCAGTTTTATGAATAAAGCTTTATTGGCACACAGCCACGCCCATGGAATTCCCGATTGTATTGCCTGTGGCTGCTTGCCTGCTACAGTGGCAGAGATGAGTAATTGTAAGAGAGACAATAAATACGGTGGCTGACGCCCCGCCATGTGGCTCAGTGGTTGAGCATCCACCTATGAACCAGGAAGTCCCTGTTCGATTCCCGATCAGGGCACAGGCCCAGGTGGCGGGCTCAACCCCCAGTGCGGGGTGTGCAGGAGGCAGCAGGTCAATGACTCTTTCTTTCATCACTGATGTTTCTCTCTCTCCCTCCCCCTCTCTGAAATCAATAAAAATATATCACAAAAAATACGGTGGCTGTAGAGCCGACAATATGCATTATCTGGCCGTTAGCAGAAGTGGGTTGAGCTCGGCCCTTGAAGATGAGATGGCAGACATAGCCAACATCCCTAAAAAGTTATTCATTTCATCCAAGAAGCATGTCTAACTGGGTAGGTGTGCCCCCTGGATGCCCAGCCCGGGTGTCCAATTACACAGCTCTTCCCAACTTCACTTAGTGACGGATTTGTTTACATGTTGCTGTCCCCCTGCCTGCTTCACCCCTGTGTCCCCGGCACCTAGCAGTGTCTGACACATAACGGCACCGTGTTGATTGCTTTTAAACTGAACGGAGCCGGGAGCCGCTGCCCTTTCTCAGGTGACTGTGAGGCGGTCCGTAGGCGGCGTGGTTTGCGGGAGAGACTGCATCTAGAGACCGGAGACCGGCTCCGCGTCCTGTTCTGCTGCCCCTCTCTGTGACATCAGAGGAGTGACTTACCGTGTCTGGGCCAGAGTGTCCTGACCTCTAAGGTGGGACGAAACCCTTATCTCACCACCTGCCAGGGTTGGTGTGAGGACCCAGTGAGATGGGGCCCGTGAGAGGCCTTCCTGAACTACAAAGCAGTAACACAAGGCGGCCCATCTGACTATTTTACTAAGAAACTCAAAGGCCAATGGCTTCTGTAGCTCAAAGGGATGAGTTGAGCAAGGATGGTGCAGAGTAGACCTATGTTAGAAGGGGGTTCCACCTTCCTCAGTCCATCCCGGGTGAGAGCCACCTAGCCCAGGACAACCTTTTTATAAGAGTCTCAAAGTCACTGCCCGCAAGTGACCATGTGCTGGACAGTCCCCCTCAGCCATACCAGGCTCCCAGGAACGGCCGCACAGGCACAGGCCCGGACTTACTCAGCTTCCGGTAGATGTGGGTGGGCTCTTCCCGCAGCAGAAGCTGGCAGTGCTGGGCCTGCAGGCTGTGTGTGCAGAGCTGGGTGTCAGGGTAGAACACACACCTCAGAGCACCAGGGCGGCTCTGCAGAGTGGTGACCTGGCAGGCTTGGTGACGGGAACACTCTGAGGAGTAGAGGGAGAAGGGTGAGGCTTGGGCCTCAGGGATGCCATGCAATCATGTCCCCATGCATTCTTCCATCCCTGCATCTGTGCAACCATTCATCCATGCATCCATCCATCCTGTATCCATTTAACTGTGCCTCCATCCTTCCTGTTCCCATCCGCTCTGCATCCATCTACCCATGCATCTGTCCATAGATACATTCATTCATCCATCCATCCCGCACCAATGCAGCCACTCACCCATGCATAAATGCATTCATCCATCCAAAACACATTCATTCATCCATCTATCCATGCATAAATTCATTCATCCATTCATCTACCCATAAATACATCCATCCATCCATCCATCCATTAATCTATCCATGCATGATTGTACCCATATATCCATTAACCCATCTATCCATGCATTTCGTCCACCCATCCATGCTGCAGGGGGCGGGAATGAAATGCTGGTGTGGGGGAACCCAACTCTCCCATCCATCTACCTTCCTCCCAACAGTCAGCTTTCGGGTTATTTATTCACAAACGTGCTCTTGTCAGTCACCTATTTAAGATATTCCCTGGCTCTTCACTGGCCTCAGGATGAAATTTTACCAAATAAGGTTCTCTATACCCCAACCTCTGCCTCCTTCTTCAGCCCCGCCTGCCTCACCCTCCCCACCACCCCGCCATGTTCCACTCGGGGTTCTGTCACCTCCCAGGTGTGCCGCTTCCCACAGCAGACACTTCCCATTATGCCGGGCATTTCGGTCCTAAGGACAGCTCTGAAGAGAGGGCTGTGTTGTTCGTTTGGGCAGCTGTGCGCGGCCTAAGGCCTATTTATACCAGGTCTCCAGGCCGAGGCGCCCCCCGGAGTTGTGCAGTGAGCAACCTGCACCTCTGTGCATGCAGCCCTGTCTGTAAGATGTGCACATCACCAGCCAACCTTGTGGGCAGAGGAGGCTCATGGACTTTCAGAACTGGAGGAGTGTGAGCATTACCTAATCGCAGGCTCTTAAAGGAGCTAATCTCTACAGAACACGCCTATAGAATGGTCACCTTGCTTATACCTCTGATGCCAGGGGCAGAAATAGAATGGTGGGGGCCAGCTAGAACTGTAAGGAATGTTACTCCTGCTCCGTTCACCATGACTGTCTCCTTCTGATTACAGAAGGCGCATCCTAACCTGGCTGGGAGTTACACACACAGGACGTGGGCGCTCACCCGGAAGGGCGGCCCACCCTCCCCATCGGGAGCTGCCTGTGATCATAGACAGATTAACAACCTTGTTGCAGAAACCAGAGCTCCAGCCCTTTGAGGACCCCCAGGCCTCTGCTTACCTGTTAACTGCCCATTGGGCACGCCCTTTGACTACTTCCCCATGTAACCTTTGTCCTTCTACGCAATATAAGCAGCAGACTTGCGGGGGTGCAGAGCAGATTTCTGTGGATGGCCTGCTGCTCTCCCACGCTGCCGGCAGGACTAGAATAAACGCTCATGTGTGATGCAACCCTGTCTCTGCTGAATTGGCTCAAGTAGTGACAGGCAGCCGGACCCACTGATGGCCCGGTTACACCTCTCCATGAGGTGCGCACTGTGGACAGTTTGTCCGTCAGAGAGGCCTTTACATTGCACTGAAAACTGTCTCTTGGAACTTGAGTTTTAAGCATAGTCTTAGTTTTGCCCCATGAGCTTGGCTAGAATAAGTATGTCTCCTCCTCAGCACGATGGCCCCCGCTCTCCTCAGGATAGCTGTCACAGCTTCCGCTCGCCTCCTCTGCCCCAGACTGGCCCCTAGGTCATCTCTCTGGTCCTCCTCCAGCCTGCTCAATGCCACTCACGTTCTGTGTGGCATATCCCACGGCGACCTTGACCGTGGCTGCCTGCAGAGGAACGAGCACCCTGCAGAGGGGAGCCCACCCAGGTCTTCCCTCCCGGTCAGTCCCTCCCTGCCAGCACCCCGTGGTATCCTGGGCCTCCTATATATTTCTGAGGTCAGAACCTTGAGCAGCACTTGTGTGAAGCCCTGTCCCAATCAACCCCACTAATGTGGGGGGGACTCCCCTTACCCAACAAACAGAGGTCTCGGGTAGCAGAGAAGTCGCCGGCGGCAGCTGTGCTGATGTGGGCGACATCGAAGCTCCTGATGGACGGGTCCACCACTGCTGCGGAGAGGCCCAGGGTCTGCCACGCATCCAGAGCCACTAGGAGAGAAAGCAGGGGTGTCGGCCACACAGTTTCACCTGGGCATGAAGAGAGCAGAGTGCCACCTGGCGTCCCCAAAGGGCAGCCCCCGGGCCCCCCTTCTCAGTCTTTGTTGCAGTGTGATCCCTTCCTTTACCCACCTCTCCATTCTACAACCACTTACGAAAAGTTGTTCTAACATATTTTTATTGATGTCTGAGAGGAAGGGAGAGGGAGGGAGAGAGAGAGAAACATCAATGATGAGAGAGAATCATGGACTGGCTGCCTCCTGCATGCTCCACACTGGAGATCGAGCCTGCACCTGGACATGTGCCTCAACAGGGAATTGAACTATGACCTCCTGGTTCATAGGTCAACACTCAGCCACTGAGCCATGCTGGCCAGGCTCACTTATTGAAAGTTTTTATGGGCCAAGTTCTGTGCTCAGGCCTAGGAATGCAAAGGTAAAAACCAACAACAACACATACACACACTAACAAGACAGCATGGCTGTTTCTTTAAAGCAGGTCACAGTAGAATGGGGGAGGAGTCGAGAAGACAAAACCAGCACCATCGTGCTGTGATAGAACGCAGTAATTAGCATGACGCCAGGTAACAAAGATAACCACAGCCTATGTGGCACTGTGGGGAGGTCTACACCTACACGGTACCCCTCAACCCTCCCTCAGGCCTCGGAGGGAGGGAGAGAAGACTGTCCCGCCCATAGTGGACACCCTGGGTGCTGCCCAAGACGCCTTTGGCGGGGGACCTAGGCTCTCCTTTCCCCAACTGTTGGGAAGTTGGTGGCTAGGGCTCCCAGTTGACCCTCCCCAGGAAGTGCCTTTGGTCCGAGAAGCTGCCTCCCCTCCCAGGATCAGCCTGTGTCCAAAAACAGTCCCTGTGGGAACACAACGCCCAGCCCCCTTGCCTCCGGGCGGGGCAGCCCCCAGGGCCAGGCCAGCCGGGCGGCAGGGCTCACTTGGGGCGTCTGCAGCACCAGGGGCCCGTCTCTGTGGACTTGGCCCTGGCTGCCCTGCGAGAGACGCTGCGCTTTTCAAGCATCCTTCGCCCGTTGCTATTTTCACGGTCAGGACATGTGGCATTTCTGCAACATGACCAGACTGAGCTGCCTATTTTTAGGTGACGCGTGCACTGCAATTTCAGAGGACAGTGATGATGGGGCTCGAGGACCCAACGTGCCAATTATGGTCTTAAAACAGAGGCCTGGGCCTCACTCCGCGTTCAGATTGATGTCTGGGGAGAGTGCGGTAACTGAGGGGTGAATTTCACCTCCCAAGTGGGAGCCAGCTCAGCGGGCGCCATCCCAGGGCCTGGAGCCAGTCTCTGCCACCCCCTCCCCCACCCTCAGCCTCCTACCGGCAGGAACCCCCGGGGATGAGTGATTGCTGTCACCCGGAATCCAACATCTGGGGTCTGGGCATCTCACAACCACTCAGAACAGTTTCTTCATGAATGCAAACAAACGGTGAGACGATGGAGCCGCGCATCTTGGTAGCATTTCACAAGCTTACTGTTTGCCAAGAGCCCAGCAACACCATTGCATGTGGCATCCTCTCTCACCCGTGCTGCGGGCACAGCCACTGTGCGCAGCTTATACATGAGGAAACCGACCCAGGGCCACTCTGAGGACCTGGCTGATGCGTGGCGATGCCAGGGCTTGTGCCCAACTTCTCTGGGTTTAAAAACCAGGCTTTACAATGCGAGATCTTCTCTCTGGTGAATGAGGTAGCGGCAGCTTTGGGGTTCACCCCAAGGGTGCACCTGCCCAAAAGCAGGATCTGTGGTTTGTTCATCAGCTTTAGACACATTTTATAAATTGCGATGCCAGCATCACTTTTTTTTTTAAGTCTCCTCTTGAATTGGAAATGTGTATTTCTTATACACTCAGTACTTCTATGGACATGACTTCTGTTTGGTGGCACTACTCTTTTTCATTCATATTGTTATTTCTGCTTCTGTTCACACACACTGCTTACGCTGTAGTCACTTTATAATAGAATGACTTTGAGGAACAAGTCTTCCCATATTATTTTTCTTTTTTTACTTATTAAAAAAATGTTTTTATTGATTTCAGAGAGAGGAAGGGAGAGAGAGAAACATTGATCAGCTGCCTCCTGCATGCCCCCTACTGGAGTCCACAACCTGGGCAAGTGCCCAGACCGAGAATCGAACCCTGACCTTCTGGTTCCTGGGTCAACGCTCAACCCCTGAGTCACGCCGGCCCTGGGCACACATTCTTTTTTTTTCCAAAATATCTCTTGGTTATTTTTGGCTATTTATTTATCAGATGACATTCAATCCCACTCTTGTCGAGTTTCAAGAATGCTCCTTTGGGACATGAATTGGAAGCATTAATATGAGAAAGAATGTAAAAATCTGTGTGTTTAATTTCTATGTCATTAAGAATAGAATGGGCCGTAACCGGTTTGGCTCAGTGGTTAGAGCGTCAGCCTGCAGACTGAAGGGTCCCGGGTTCGATTCTGGTCAAGGGCATATACCTTGGTTGTGGGCACATCCCCAGTGGGAGGTGTGCAGGAGGCAGCTGATTGATGTTTCTCTCTCATCGATGTTTCTGACTATCTCTCTCCCTTCCTCTCTGTAAAAAATCAATAAAATGTATTTTAAAAAAAAAGAATGGAATGGGATTTTTTTCATTATATTTCTAACAGCTATCGCTGACCTGAAGGAAGCCTTATTGCTGTGTATTTCTTGTCTAACAAGACCCTGAACGCAGTCCAGTGTAGCTCACACAATAGCCACTCGGGCTCTTCTCTCTGTGGCTACTTTGAAAATAGGCTCAAACTAGATCCCAGATTCAGTGAGGACACACCGTCCAGGCCCTGTGGTTGGTCACTGGCCCTGAGCCTGTCAGAAAGGAGACGTGCTTAGTTAAACAGCAGGTTCCCTGGGTGCATGCCAGCTCCTCCAATGAATAGCTCTGTGACTTGGGGCAAAACACTCTTCCTCTCTGGGCCTCAGTTTCCTCATCTGTAAAATGGGGATGTCACCAGATGCTCTCTCTAGGTGATCAGGGATAAATGAGTTGCTGTGCGGGGGTGGGAGAACTTGCTGAATACGGGCCCTCGTGTAGTCTCTGGGCCAAGCTGCTGGGTTCCTGCTGCATTTGAGTCACTATCTTTTCCAAGCTTTGGAGGTCTGAGCCTGACTTACGTACCAGGGTGGACGTCCTCAAAGAGGTACAGGAGCCCATACCATTGCAGTGACATCAACACTTTCTTCCTGACTTCTGCCTGAATCCTGCTTCCCCTCACCCACCGGGCCTTGTCCCTGGGCGCCCTTACCTCCCCCCGCCCCTCGTTGGTCACTCCGCCTTCTCAGCCCCTCTGGGAACCGCCCTTTCTTCTCCATCCAGATCCAGCCTCATCAATTTCACTGCCCTTCCTGACACTCCAGTTCCCGAGACCCAGACGGCCGCGCCACTGCCAGTCTTGCCCCTCCTCACACCATCGTCTTACTGCTGATCGCCTCTCCATCGATCACACCAATCACTGCTCACCAATCACTGCTCATGTCCTCAGGGGACAGGCAAAGCCTGTATAGTCTCCAGCTTCAGCACCCCGCCCCCTTACGGGGTGGGCCTGGGTGCACCCCAAACACGTCATATAATCATAAGACGTGGAAAGAGGTATCACTTTACTATGAAATTTGAGTTAGTTATGTTGACTCACATCAACCCTCCTCACAGTACGGACATGAGCCACAGGGAGGAAAGGTCACAGGATAGTTCCCAAGGTCACAGAGGCACTCCCCAAGAACACAGGGTACCCCCGAGGCCACAGAGCTATTCCCCAAGGTCACACAGGCAGTGAGGCAGCATTTGCACTCAGGGCAGCCTCATGGCATTACGTCCCTCTGTGCACCACGGAGTTGCCAAGGGTGACAGGCAGAGGGGAGGGAGGGCTCTGGGGCAGCGTGGCCGGCAGCCTCAGGACGGGCAGGCCTCTGGGTGATACCGAGCAGTTCATTCTCTTCCAGGAAGCATGGTGTCCCTTTTCATGTAGACTACGTTTCTGTAGTCTAAATCACCAGATGAGAATACATTGGAAAGTTCTACTAATATATGGAAAAGCATGTTTAATTTCCTTTCCTTTCTTCTTCCCTTCCTGCGCCGCCCCCCCACAAGGAAAAATGTTTCAGGGCTCACTTAGAGTAATTGCACCATTAAAAACAGCTTTAAAAACTTGAAAACGCACATGCTAATGCCCCAGGGACAGGCCTGCCGCCTGCGGGTGCGGTAAACTGAGGCAAGCTCTGCCTCCGGCCCTCACTTTTCTCATGTGAAACGTGGGGAGAATGTATTCTCCAGTGTTTTTGAATCAGATCAAAGTGCAGAAATGTTAAACCAGTGGCAAACGCCACCCTTCTCTCCGACGCTCTAATCCCAGGTCCATCTTTAAAGGAAAATGGGATTTTCTTAAGCATCAGCAAGAATAAAGGTAACAAGGAGTGCACCCTGCAAGGCTTCCAAATGCAGGCAGCATTCTTACTGCTCTTGCGGCCGAGCCAGGAAGAATCCCTCTTGGTGGTGAATGTGGAAAAAGCTTGAGGAAATATTGGAGGTGGTTGCCATGCCCCGCTGGCTGGCCGGGGTGAGATATCAAAGTCAGAAGCCTTTCAGGCAGGAAATGCATCATGGGCACCAGCACAGCTCCGTGACCTTGAGCCCACAAGCTGTGACCTTGAGCCCACAAGCTGTGACCTTGAGCCCACAAGCACTCACTCGCTGCTGGGAAGGTCCCGGCCTGTACGGGGCAGGACCCACACTCAGGCATCCTGACTTCTCAACAGACACCATCTTTCAAGTGAGAAGCACGTCACTCTGGGCTAATTTCCCCCTGGTAACACTCAAATAAAAACCAGATGTCCCTTTAATAACAGAAAGAAGAAGGAAAAAAAGACATCTGTTATTTTGCGATCATTTGAAAGATGATGAGATCGGACCGGGTCTGCCTGCTGACTTGGCGTTTCTTTGGAGAGA